ACTTTTACCGTCTCACAATAGACAAGAGTCTGGAGTTTCTTTTTTCAAAACTAGAAAAAAAATGGGGGAACAGGATCTCAAGGAGGAAAAGACCAAAACCTAAGACAGAAAACATTATATAGTATAACAAAACACAGTACATGGGATCTCATTCTCAAACACTTCTGAGAATTAGTGAAGGCTCTGGATAAATAAAAACCAGTGGACCAATTAATATTAAAAGCTAAAGTTCATTAAACCAAAAAGAGTTGCCCAAGAAGTTGGTTTCACCAATATCCAAATGTCACTTTCCAATAAGGTTTGGGTCGGAAAAGTCACCCATTACTCAACTGAGAACAAGTAACAAGGTTTGAGACAAATAGGTAAGACTGAAAAATCAATGCCTTCTTGGAGTGAGCAATCAATATTAAAGACACAATCCTCTAAAATCAGAAATTAAAAAATCAAAATGACTATTAAGTTTACAAAAGTAAACTTTTCCAATCCAAAATTGAGAGAGAGAAAAGAAAAACATTACCACTCACCTCCTTGCTCTCATGGAAAGAGATTCTAGAGTCCAATTTGTTAAGAATTCTTACCTTTTAGTTAGCGTTTATCAAATATCCAGGATCTCTTTCCATGGCAACTTTCAGAAGCAAGGAGAGCACAGTCCATCAAGTTTCTCTTGGCTGGCTCATCAAGTTGTCAGAGTACAAAATAAAACATCCCATACTTCCCTGTGCTCTTCTCATACCAGACTAGTAATGAAAAATAGCTCACACCACAAAGGAAAAACAAAGAATTTAATCGAATGCATACAGAGAATCCACATGACTGAAAAGAGTAACTGAGCAGACTATCACGTTTTTGGATGTGAGGAGAGAGGGGAAAATTCAAATGACTGACACAAAAGGAGTTATCTCAGCCTTAATCTAAGAGTAAAGATTCTTAGATTCTTAGAAAATGTTTATCGATAGAGCTAGAACTGGGTGAGACCACCAAACTACTGTCTTCAGTCATAAAAAGTAAAAGGGCAGAAGCTTAGGACATGCTCTCCCTTGATTTGGAAGGGCTAAAAGTTTTAGGTAAGAACAGAAGTTTCTCCAATCCAGCTTTCAGGGCCCTCACTGTTCTCAACACAAAGCAATTTGCATCTTTAAATAATGGTAATATATAGATCTTCTGAGGCTTCCAGAACTCCAGTGCTCATAGTAAGGTGATAACAGTTCTATGATGGGTCCACTTGAGAAAATGTCTCTCTTTTGGCAGAGGACTGACCTCATACCTTGATCATCATAGTTTAGTTTTGTCTTTCTTTATTTTCATATGAAAAGAATTGTACAACATAAATACATTTATGTCTGGCTTATGTGGCTTAACAGTAAGATTGTGAAACAACTGTTGCGTACAGACATAATTTAAAAAAAATTTTTATTAAAGATTCTTATTTATTTATGCACACAGAACTGGGGTATAGGCCAAAGTTGCAGGGGTGGTGAGAGGCTTCACCAGAGACAGTGTGGGGAGCACAACAGGCAGATTGAGGAAGTACACTGCTGAGAGGAACAGTGGGCAAGCAAGGAGAGGTCTGGATGCTCCCCACTCTGTCTCTGGTGAATCCTCTCACCACCCCTGCACCTCTGGCCTGTACCCCAGTTCTGTATGAATAAATAAATAAATCTTTAGGAAAAAAAGTATAAAAAAGAATGAAGATGGAAAGGACTTACTTTCACTTTTCCTGCTTTGTCTTGGATCCTGATCTCTGCTGCCATTGGGACAGATGGCATCTAGCTACATGCTACCCAGTTAACCCTCTTTCTCTCCTCCCTCCCTGACCCTTCTTCCCAGGGTTGCACAATAACAGCTTGGAGTCCAACATGGGTATTTAGGCAAGCTTAGTTAGTTTTCATAGATTCTGCTTAACAGTGTTTCTCCTGAAATATTAAAAGGAAAACAAACAAAATGCCTTTCTTAAATATGCAGAATCATTTGTTTAGTTCTTTCTTCTTTTAAATCACATTAAGTTAGATAGCCTCTAGTGCAATGATTTCATCCTACCTCAAATAGCAGAATCATTAGGGAAATGATTTTAAAACAGAAATTTTTCAGGTCCTCCCTGGTGGTGCAGCTGGTTAAAGCACAGCACTATGCTAAATTCACTTCACCATGAGTTGGATTCCCCGCCCCAGAGGTGACCCACATGGTGCGGCAGACCTCTCCTAACCCGTCCACTGCTCCCCTCAGCAGTGTACTTCATCAGTCAGCCTGTTCTGCTCCCCACTCTGTCTCTGGTAAATCCTCTCACCACCCCTGCACCTCTAGCCTATACCCGTTTTGTATGCATAAATAAATAAATCTTTAAAAAAATTGAAATTTCTCAATGCCCCCATATTCTGCCAAACAAAACCTTTAGATTGGTGAGCATTTAGAAAGACTGCTTCAAGACTTTCAATACTGGTATCAAAACTGAAAATACAACAAATGAGTTAAAGAGCTATTTCTCAGGAAAATAATGTTAATCAAACATTAAGATATTTTATTTCATTTTAATTTATTTAAATTGTTCTCATCTAAAAGTGAAATTTAAACAAAAGGATGTTTATTCATTACTTTTTTTAAATAGTTGCTTCACTCTTACATTTCTAAAAGAGAAAAAAAAGAAAAACCCTTGATTAAGTGTAGCAACCCTAACATTCAAAGAAAATTAGCAAACACAAGTTGTAATAGTGTTTTCAGAATTGAAAAAACGTTTTTAGAAGAAATAATATAGAATCCTACACAGCAGCCATATCATCAGAAACAGGAAAATAAGAAAGGTAAAAGTCATCAGAGAATGAGAAGTGGAAGGTTAAGGCTACATTCAAAAGATAAGAAGACTGAAACCTGTCACATATTATGATAATGATCATGAAGAAGCCAGTTCATATGAAAACTTTCACATTCACAGCAGACGATCAAATTCTTGGGAAAGGCAAAAAAGCAATAAAAAATAATACCACACCAATTTCCTCTCCATGAAGAAAAATGTGAAAAGCTAGAGAGGCCTACAGGCAGGACTGAAAAACAGTGTGGATTAAATGGATGCTGCCCTAAACTATCTGGAAAAGGAGGTAGGATACACTCGACAAAAAATTGTCAATTTTTTGTATAATTCAGTCTTTTATGGAATGGATCAAGAACTTAATAAATGAGCGGTGGTGATGGATTACAGGTGACGGTGGTGGGAGAACTATGGAGACTGGACCTGCGGGGAGAAACTAAATACTCTTACAAATGTGAACAAAGATGCAAATGAATAATAAAGAAAGAATGAAGAAACTCTAGCATTTTTCTTGGTTTTTCTTTTGGTAGTGGGACCAGCAGCGTATGCCCAGTGAACCTCAGCAATTAAGCAGTTTCTATACACTATTAAAAAGACTTACTTTGGGCCCTCCCTGGTGGCGCAGCGGGTTAAAGCACTGCACTGAGAAGCTAAAGCCACTTCAGCATGAGTTCATTCCTGCCTGCCCCGGAGGTGACCACACAGCGTGGCAGACCTCTCCTGACCCGCCTGCTGTTCCCTCAGCAGTGTACTTCGTCGATCTGCCTGTTCTGCTCCCCACTCTGTCTCTGGTGAAGCCTCTCATGGTCCCTGAGCCTCTGGCCTGTACCCCAGTTCTGTATGTACAAATAAATAAATCTTAAAAAAAAAAAAAAAAGACTTACTTTGAAGTTGAGCATCACAGAATTAGAATCATCTAACAGAAGCACAGAATTTAAGAGATCATACAGGGAAACTCTTCTTTTAAAGGTGAGGATGCATGGGCAACACCACAGAAAAGAGAGCCCTCCCAGCAGCAGCTACATGTTTCATAGGATGCAAATGCAAAACCAAGACTTGGGTGCCCAGTGTCTTGGAGGGTAAATGAGGGTGGGCTCAAAAGTATATTCCTCTCTCCTAAAAAAGGATGCCAACCAAAATAAGAGAACACACAATTTGCCTGATCCAACACTATGATTAGACAGCATAATTCTACTTTTGAACAGTTTAAAACATTCTATTATCATTTTGTGGAGCAAAATAAAGAATCCCTTTCCCTTTCCCTTTCATATGCATTGTTACAGCTCTAGAAGTCACCGTCTCCTTTTTAAGCTACAAAATCTCTATTGTGGAATGTCCACCAAATGCTAACATTCTCTTCAAAAAGTTCTATCTACCCCGCCAAATGACCACCTTTTACACTCTAAATGTTCACATTCATACAACCGTGATCTTGATACTTTCAAGGTACATCTCAAATACCAAAATCAAGCTTCAAATTTAACATTTCCTTCATCCTCAGTGATTCCAAATCATGATTAAGAAGAAATTAAAAATCTGGCTCTCACTTTCAATCAATAAAATCTCCAAAGAGTTAAAGCATCAAAAAGTTCACATAAAAATTAGCCTTATATTTTCTTAATATAACAGAAATGAACCAGTAAGGCGATCAATCAATTTTCAATTACATTGGCATGTGGAGATGATAGAGCCTATATCTACAATTGACATTACTCAACAAATAAGGGGCTTCACACGGTAAGGCTTCCAGAAACATCCCAACTATGTGAATTGATTAGTAATATTCACTAATTGAAACAGTATTTTTTCTTTTAGTAGGAATTCACCTTCACATTTTAGACTATTACAATTTAAAAAGAATAAACTAAGGAAGATCCTAAGTGCTCAATTTAAAGTCAAATGGATGTTTGTTATCAAGAAGAAATACAATTAAATTGTTTATAACAAATAGGTTTTCAAGTGGAGTTTGTATATAATTATATGCAGTCAAAATACATACATGCATACTGCATGTAGATCTTCCCTAAATGCACCTTTAACATTTTTAGTATATTTTATAAAGTTTAGAATTACACTCTTTGCACTTTGATTTAATTAGGATCATTTATGTTAGTAAAATAAATTGATAAAACAGATATAATAAAATCCAATTTTTCAGCATGAAGCTTAGCTCATACATTATATTACACTGTATACTTACCACATCAAACTTCTGGGTGATGTTCCCCTGGACATCAAGTAAATAAACCTTGCCATAATGTGTGCCCAGTGCCAAAAACTGTAAGAAGAACAGAGGGATCAAATTTATTAATGTACCATTAATATACCGTTAATAACAGAACCACTTTTAAAGCCAAGCCTTTTAATGTGGAATAGATCTGCAACACCTTGGAAGATACGCATTCCTTAGAAAAGCTTGTTTCCAGCTTCAGGGAAATAACAAAACAGGGTTACTTTATTGTGATAGTGCAAGCCAGCTGTCAGAATGACTCATGAGGACCCTCATCTACTGACAACTAATGGTGTGGCTGCGGTCTGTACACAATGCATGATGGACTGAGGCAGCAAATTAAAATGCAGCTGTGGAAACACAACCAACCTACAGTTGAACTTAAGAAGGAATGATCAAGAAACTCCCTCTAATTCTGGCAAATGTCTAAATCTGTGTTATCATTTAAGTTTAAAATATATGCATACACACAAACAACAGTGTATTATTATATTTTAGAGGAAAAGCCAAACCATATAGTGAGATGAAAAAACTCAGATGTACTTATATTGTCAGTTATCATTAGCAAGCCACTGTCAAAGTTAATGGGTCATACTGAGTGCAAATGTGTATACTGTAATGCAAAAGAAAAAAAAAAAAACCTCAAAATGACTGCTGAGCTATACATTCACTTCATGATCTAAAACTAGTTCATAACTCCCACTTTCTTTAATTCTTTGATCTAACCTTAAACAAACCAAAAGAAAGTTTAAAACTACCAGAAATTGCTTCCTTTTTTATTTCTTTAAGTATTACTCAAATAGTTCTAAATTCTCTGCATTTCATTGCATGTGAGTATGCTTCATTGCAACCTATAATGAAATGCTCAAATTTACAGGCACTACTAAGCGTTGCAGTGAAGCAGCACAATCTTTAAAAAATAACCTTACAGGAAGTCAAGATTTAAAAGGATTTATCAAAATGGAATTGCTTAAAATGAAATTTCAGTTCAGACACTTAAAATATGAAGCTACATTAAAGAGGAGTCTCAAAAAGGGAAAGAAGGGGCTCATCAGAAATTCATCCCCTGCAATGCCTTTCACTCCTGCAAGGTTGCCTTTTTTTCAAGAAGAAAAAAGTCCCCCGGGTAAAAAAATCAATACTGGTTAATAAAACATCAGGTGTGCAGACATAACTAGGTATGACGATTCGGGCGCACAGGCCGGCTGAGCGCACCGGGTGCCATGCCGATTACTCATCCAGGGCAGACAGTGAGCCTGGCGCGCACAGGATGCCGGGCCCTGGAAAAGCAAGGGAAGAGGTAATTCTGAGGGGAAATTAGTCTGAATATTTAAACCAAAACAGGGATGTTTTTTCCAAAGCAAAAGAACAATCTAGTCAGAAATCGAGTACTCAGATGGTTGTAACCTTTTCTCCACAGTGATGCTGACAATATTTGAATAAAGAAACACCACATATGTGAACGATACTACACTTCATACAGTTGGTTTTGTATGTATAAAGAATGGGTCTTAAAAGCACGCTACACCTAAGTACTCAATGTATTGATTCTTCTCATAAATACTGTATTTAGTTTGTTAGAAAAATAAGGGGGCTTAGATCCTTAAAATGCTTGAAGACTGTCAGTTTGCAATACTTTAAATACCTATATACCATTCTTGAATTTCCAGTTATACTTTATCAAATGTTTACTCAAATATTCTTCCCTTTTTCTTTTTCTTTTTCAAAACGGATAGTTTCATTCACATAATACGTAGGAGAGAAAAAACACAACTAATTATTTTGATTTTACAACTTCAATCCAAATTTATAACGTTTCAAATTTTTGAAAAAAATATGATTTTTATGACAAGCTATCTTTTGTTTAGGAGAATATTTCATCATTTGAATTAGAGAAATGACTGTTTCACTCTTTTATAAATAACTAACATTCTGTGTTTTTTAAAAATAAAAAACAAGTTCGATAAGCCAATCTCGTGGTCCTTTAAAATTTTATTTGACTAGCAAATTACTGATGTCCTTTTTTCATTTGCTAATGCTTTCAACTAAAAAACAATAAAAAAAAACTCAACAAAAAAAGCAAAATTGGCCTCTAATCACAAATGTAAACACAAATTATTTTAATGTGACTTTTTCTAGCCATTAAAAGACTTGTATTTTTGTTCTATTAAATTTTTTTAAGCCCTAGAGCACATTTTAAAATCCAGGATGGGCAAAAAATAAATATAATTACCCCCTTTCATGTATCAAGTTTAATTACAGAAATCTGATTCATTTTATTTTATAAACCATCAATCTTTCTGAAACATCCATAGGCATAACTACTTTTACTTGGAATAATGGGACTATATGTAGCAAGAAATAAGCAGTCCTTTAAACACCACAAAGGAAACAAAAGTGGTACATATCAAATATGCCTAGCTGCATATCATCTATATTTCACAAGTATTTTATAGTATTCAAAGTAATAGAGTTGGGCATGCATTAAATTACATAGGAGGAATCAGTTAGCTATGGAAGTTGATAGAACTTTCCTGGAAACAGACAATGAGAAGCAGAATTAAGCTGTGAATCAAGAGCTAATAATCCTCAGCTGGATCAGAAGCCTTGTAATAGAAACAAAGGCCTGAGATTAAGAGTGCAGTTCTAAAATTTAATACTGACTACAGTTCCCAGCATCAGGCTCTTCTGCTATATTGGATTAATTATGGTGCTGGAAAAGAACAAGTAAACAGTTTTCCATTTCAGATATTCAGTAGCTCATTCAACAAACACACAAAAAGCACCACTATATACTTGAAAGTATGACTTTAAAAGGTGATGATATAATAAGGGAGAGAAATACAAAAATATGATTGATTTTTAAAAGAATACTTAAATATAAGTATCTCTATGACCCAGCACCTGGGAAGTTATCAGCTTCATTGAGCTTTAAAAGGTGGTGCTAGACAGCTGATACTGAGGCAAATGGGGCAGGCTTGTGGGAAAGGCTATTTCAGCAGAGTGGCTGCAACTTGCGCAAAGGCATGGGGTCACAGAAAAAGCAGGATAAGGTCAAGAAACCAGTAATCGTTTCATATTGTGGAAGCAGTGAGTGCATGTCCAGGGAGAAAACAAGCCATAAAGTTGGAAAGGCATGTTACTAGGAGGCATTTGGATATTTATGGAGAGATAAATGGTAGAAAAGTAGAAGAAAAGGGAGTAAGGTGAGCAAATCATGAAGACACTAAGGAACCAATAAAGAATTCTAGGAAGGGCGATTGTACTATCATTTGAATTTTTGAGAGATTACTTTAATAGGAATAAATATTACAAATGAACTAAAATGAAAACAAATCTAAAGGAAAACAGATTAGTTCACGGTGGTATGCATTATTTTCAGGAAGAAATGATAAATGCCTGAAATAAAAGAAAAGAGCTCAGGATAGGAATGGATTCAATAGGTGATGGGAGCTGGAATCTTGGCAAAAGAGATGCTGTGAGTAAAGCTGCCAAACATTGCTGCCAAAGCACCCCATTTGTAGCAGAAAGTGGTTAAACATAAAACCAATAACACTAGAGGCAAGAATTTTGTAGGTCTTCATTATCACATTGAGTGAGAGGCATATAAATAGGGCCTTCCCTGTTGGTACAGTGCCTTAAAACCATAGCCACTTCAGTGTCAGTTCAATCCCCCACCCCAGAGGTGACCTACATGACTCGGCAGACCTCCCCTGACCTGCCCACTGCTCTCCTCAGCAGTGTACTTCATCAGCTGGCCTGTTCTATTCCCCACTCTGTCTCTGGTGAATCCTCTCACTTACCACACCACTAGCCTGTATCCCAGTTCTATATGAGTTGATCAGGGCCTAAGGGAAAAGGTACAAAAATCACTAGGACACAAAATGACAGCGTAAAGAGGAAAAGAACTCATGGACTTTGCTGATAAAGGTGAAGTTGATGGGGGTAGAAAACAAAAAGATACACAATGATCGAGGGGAAGGAAGACAGGTGCATTATGGACTTGTGTATTTAATTAAAAACACAATAAAAGGTAAAGCTGTTTAGAAGACACCTGAATAAAAAAAGGCATACTAGTCTGGGTAGGTTCAGTGTTAAAGTGGTCATAAAAATCAAGAAACTTAAAATTTAAAAAGTACAAATTAGAAGAAATGTGGAAAATGGACCATCTCTGAGGAAACTAACTTGTAAGGGAATGATGTAGATAAAAGAAAGTGAGGGAACCAGAAGTGAATAAGAAATAATTAAAATAACAACAACAACAACAATACTAATAATAACAATAGAATGCTGTCATGATAAAGAAGCCTGAGAAAATGAGTCCAATTTTAAAAGTAGCAAAATATATATCAACTGGCAATGTATGCACAAAATGTGCTTGTCCATTAGTGAAACACTATTCAGCAACAAAAAAGGAATACACTATTGATATACACTATTTCACCAGCGAACCTCAAAACATTATGTTAAGTGAAGCTAGACCCAAGAGAGCAAACATCATATGACTCCACATATTTGCATACAAAGTATCCAAAATAGGCAAATCTATAGAGACAGAAAATAAAACAGCAGTTGCCTCTGGCTAGAATTTGCTATAGCAGAATTAGCAAATAAGAAATGAGAACATAAGTACATGAAGAAAAATGTGAAGAAACAGATCCTTGAACAGGAGGAAGAAAAGCTCCTGTGGGTAAGGACTGGTGCAAACTCAAGTGAGTTGGGAAAGGAGCTGAAGCTGATCATGCTTCAGTTCCAGTGAAGTGACAAGGGACTTAGATGGGGAACTGAAGACTCAGGGGGTCAAGGAAAAAACACTTTTTTTTTAAAAAGACTTGTTTATTTATTCGTACAGAATTGAGGTACAAGCCATAGGTGCAGGGATGGTGAGAGGCTTCACCAGAGACAGAGTGGGGAGCAGAACAGTCAGATCAACAAAGTACTGAGGGGAGCAGCGGGCGGGTCAGGAGAGGTCTGCCGCGCCACGTGGGTCACCTCTGGGCAGGGGTCGAACTCGCACTTATGTGGCTGCCACCAGCTTGCAGTGCTGCATCCCAACCCGCTGCCCCACCAGGGAGGGCCAAAACAGCACTTTTAGTGAGACATTTACCCAGGCATGCAACTCTGTGCCAGCACTTGGCTGGCTGCACTGGCCCTCAGAGAACAATGCTCAGAGTAAGAATGTGCTAAAAGCACAATGAAGGGCAGGGATATCTATAAACTGAAGATGTCAGTGAAGCATAATGAAAAAGGTGAGTCATCTGATAGACACAGAAAGTACAAGAAAAAGAATGGATAAGAGAATAGGAATCCATAGTCACAGAGCAGGGTAAGCAGGAAAATGGCAACATAAATCGAAAGTAAAAAAAGGGTCCACAGGGCATTAAACGAACCTGTTTCAGGTGCTGACAAAACCCAGAGTTTTGGTTTAAATGGCAAGAAATGAAACAGGGTCTCAGACCTAAATGTTGCTGAATTTAAATTGAACCAAAGAACTGCAAGGCCAGTCCTCAGTGACTGAAGGGAAGTGACAAGGAAATTGGGGAGTGGCAGCAATGGGGAAGGGGGGATAAAGGGGGGAGAGTGGCGCAGCCAGTGGCAGAGATTTCAAAGGAAGGGATATATGGTCAAACAAGTGAGGGAGAATATTCTAGTAATATGGTGAACAAGTAGAGGAATCTTTTGAAATGGAATGAAATCTGAAACAAAAAAGGAATTGGGAAGGTAGAAAAAGCAAGAAGGAAGAGGAAACAGCACTGCTGGTGACAAGACAAAACCAAGAGATGAAACCCAGCTGGGGAGTTAGCCTGCCTGGGAGGGAAAGACTTAAGCCCCAGGCTTCACAGGTTAGAGAGCAGTGGTTGAAAATCTTAACTTCAATACTCTGCTTATGACACAGATAGTTTTCGTTAAAGAACAGGCTAAGGGTGATGTATAACAATTAGCATGGACTCAGAATATTGGCAGGGGACTTTGTTGTGGTGAAAATGTGGACTATAATAGTTCATTCATATAAGTGATATTTGGGGCCTTTCTATGAATTGTGAAAACTTCCTTCTACTCTCTACTAAGTACCACAGTGTCCAATTTTAACTTTCCTACTCAAATACCTAAGGCTGGAGGAATAAAGTGATAGTTTCCAAGAATCACCTGCAATAAATCTTCATATCTGTCTTAATTCTACTTGCAGTGTACATGTGTATTTGGTCGTTTTGATTTTTGTTGATGAGGAAGAAGACGATGCAAAATGACGCACCACCAAAAGCATCCAAATTCAAGATATAAATAGACTTACAACAGAAATTACTTATAGAGGACTCTTTGACAGCAAGGGTTACCTTACCTTGTCATGAACTGTCATGCAACTTGCTGCATCTTTCTGAAGGATTTCAGTTACTCCATTGGAAAGCCTTTCATACTTCAGTTTGGGTTCCTCTTCACTCTCTTCCTCCTGCACAAAAAACAGAGACAATAACACCTGCTATAGATTTATCTGACAGAGTCAAGACTCAAAACACTCTTTTTAAGGGGGAGCCAAAGATAGTTCTCTCACTGATTGTCAATAGTTATTATTAATAGTGAAGATTTTCATGTTTCATTTGTCCAACTTGGTATATCAACTGTTAGAACTTCATCAGGAGAATAATCTAAAAGCTGAAAATGTGTGTATAGAAATTAATCAACTTTGACATATGACAGTAAATAAAACAGTCTGGCCTACTAAGCAGGCACAAGACAATAATGGGCCCATGAGCAAAATATTTGTCAGTATGACTTCATGGACAAAAGATACTCATAGCAAAGATAGGAAGTCCCTAAAAACCATGAATCATGTATTTCAAGATTTTAAAATATTTTAATTTTTATATTTGTGTTTGTCAAATGAAAAACTATCTGATTTAAATTAGAAAATATTATGAAAAATGTTAAAGTGACAGAATTAGAAATTTTATAAAGGAAAATGCATAGTCACCTTTCAGATAAACATATTTTAATGTTTATTTTAAATAACTGATAACCCATGAACAACCAGTACTTATCTATTTTATATTAGAAAATGTATTGTTTACTCTCAGCTGAATAAATCTACTTCTACATTTAAATGTCTTTATCATTATTATATATTATTACTTTTTTGTACAACCTCACTGTTGATATAGCACCAAAAGGTAGCCTTAGTGCTCAGGAGAGCAGCAAAGCAGAAGACAGGATGAGTAAAATGGAAAACAGGTCAAAAAAGGGAAGCCAGAGAAGAAAATGGCATGGAATATACAGAAAAGAATGCATGAGCTAAGTGGAACATAGCGGAAAAAGTTAACCCACACATTTAATTACAATCCCAAAAGTAAAAGGGATGGAGGAGAGCCAGGAATATACTTAAGAGGTAACAACTATGAAATTTCTAAAGTGGATAAGGTATCAATCCAAAGGTTAAAAAAACTCTACACTTCAAGCAGGAAAAGAAAATTGTATCTGTGCAGACATAGAAAAAGAAAATTAAGTAAAATCAAATGATTTGTAGAGTGATAAGTGCTGGGCCTATTGAAGATCCTAAAACTGACAGGATACAAGAGGCAGATACTGAAAACACAAATATTTTCAGAAGAGTTTAACTCTAGGGAAAAGAAAGACATCTTTAGATGAAAAGAGAGTAATTGGTAGAAAAATAGAAAAGGATGAGATCTACCAAACACAATGTCATAGTTAGCATCAGCTATCTCATTTATCCTGACTTAAAAACAACAACAATGGAGAGTTAAATCTAATTATTTTGTTTTATGGATTTTCAGTAAAAACTGATGATCAAACTTTTAAGCAATTTCATCAAGGCACATAGCTGAGTAGAAGGCAAAGCAAAAATTCACAATCAGTTAAGAGAACTCTAAAGTCAATGTCTTACAGAGCACACCCAATCCCCCTGGAAAATGATGTGACAAGTCACAACAGAAGTCTCCATAAATTTTATGCTTATAAATAATTGTAAGTATAAACTATAGGAAATGTTTTAAAATGTGTTTATTTAGCAGGTGTTTTAGCTATCTATTGCAACAGAGTAAACACCAAAATTTACTAATTTTAAACAACAGGTTTGTATTCTTTCACAAAATATCTGTACAGGGATAGTTTAGCTGAGTGATTCAGGTTCAAAGTGTCTCCTGGGTTGCAAGCAAGATGTCAGCTGGGGCTGCACCCATCTTGAAGGCTTGATGAGTTAGAAGTATCTGCTTCTAAGCTGGCTCATTCAAATGGTTGGCAAGTGGGTGCTGGTTGTCAGCAGGAAGTTTCAGTTCCTTGCCTCATGGCCCTATCCATAGCAGGGCTGGAATATCCTCAGAACATAGCAGCTGGCTTCCCCCCAGAGTGAATGGTACAAGAGGAACAAAGCAGAAGTAGCAATGTTGTAAACACCTAGACAAAAACATGTCCCACAGATATTTTTGCAATATTCTATTGGTCACACACAGGCCATCCACAGTTGAATGTGGGAGGGGGGAAAAGAGAGCAGAAAAAATAACAGGTGAGAATCAGGTGAAACCATCACACAGACAGCAACAAGAACATTAATAAAATTTTAAGAGCAATAAATGAAGTTGAAGTTATTTTAAAAACCTACTAATATTCCATGTTTATCATGAACTGTCTTAATGTCCCTTCTCTAAATATAAACAAGCTGTTGGTTATATAGTAAGAATACTAAGATAAAATGGTATGCCTATTTTCCAAGAAAAATTTTAAAAACTAAAAACAACAAAAGAGAAGTATAATAATCATAGTTATTTAAAAGACATATGCCAGTTTAAAAAAGATACCGGTGATAATCAACCAAGCCCAAGGAACTGTTATGTGGCAAAAAGCAGTGAGTTAAAATATGAAAACTAAATAACCATGTATAAAGAACCCAGAAAAAGAGACACTATAAAAACAACAAACAAGTCTACTTATGTATTTATAAGCAAGAAACAGAAATCATTACAAAGTTAACATTAAATATGGCAACAATGATGTATGTATCCTGAAGTAAATGTGTTAAATGCAAACTGAATCCAAAATGCTATTCTTTATAAGATGCCACATGTTGCTCAAGTCTGGACATCAAATGTGCATCCAATGTGAAAAGTTAATTCTAGCCTCTTGACTATTTTGCATAAATGCACTCATCCACGGACCATTAGATAAAGTTATTGTAAATAAGGTTTGCCTGTCTTACTTATAAGTGAAAACTAAATAATTTTCTCTCACATAAATATACAAAAATAAATACTTTCACAACACAGTTCACTGAAGCATTTGTACTAGGCTTCAAAAACCATAAAATAAAACGAAAACTCCAATATTAGGCACTTGATGTAGCATTTCATGCTTTTCTGACAGGTATCTTTTATGTTAAGTTAAAAGCAGGCTAAAGGTGAATTTTTAAGGTTTCTCCGCTTGCTGTAAACAAAGAAAATGGAAAATGATTCAAAAATACAATTCACAGAGGTTATTCCACTGCTGCAGACTGTATATAACATTTTAAATAAAAACACATTTTAAAAAGTCAAGTAGATTAAATATAGAGTTTCACTAAAAAAATTAAAACAGAAACGATGGCTTTTGTGCGATTTGAACTTCCTTGGCAAACAACCCAGTGTTAATATAAAGCAAATCAATAATTTTTGTTAAATTTTAATAATCTTGCAAACCTACAAATAAAACCATCAACAGACTGAGTTGAGATGACAGTTAACTGCGTTTCTATGACAACCTAGTAGAACAGTACAAGTCCTGACTTGCAGCTAAGCGAAGATATGAACAGAGTGACATTTACCCATACAAGAAAAATTTGCAGCTTTCCTTTAAAAAGAATCAATTCCTCAAGCAACATGGTTTTTCACTAAGTGTATAGCACTTTTAATTAAAGACATGTCCTTTAAATCATCCTTTAAGACTCCAGGATACTATCTGAAAATAAATTTCACATTACAGTTTTTCTTTTGCATTTAAAAGCAAAAAAAAAAAATACTCTTGGAGTTGGGAGGAATAAGACAATTAAAGATCTCTGCCTGGAAAACTATTAGTATTTTGTTACTAATACCATGGGATAAATTTTCATGAAGGAAATCCTATCCCCTAAGTAGACTTTTATACCAACAAGAATATGACACTTTTTACTTGAAAATTTAAAAATCATGTAGATGAAAATCTTGGTTTTTATAACATCAACTTTTTATCTTGTTTTAATTTTACTCATATCTTTTTTTTTTTTTTTAAAGATTTATTTATTTGTACATACAGAACTGGGGTACAGGCCAGAGGCTCAGGGGCGGTGAGAGGCTTCACCAGAGACAGAGTGGGGAGCAGAACAGGCAGATCGACGAAGTACACTGCTGAGGGGAGCAGCGAGCGGGTCAGGAGAGGTCTGCCACGCCATGTGGTCTCCTCCGGGGCAGGCGGGAATCGAACTCATGCGGAAGTGGCTTTAGCTTCTCAGTGCAGTGCTTTAACCCGCTGCGCCACCAGGGAGGGCCTACTCATATCTTTTATACATCAGTACATTTTATAAACCACTGTTACAGTCCAAATGAATATTTGACTTTTATTTTTAAAAAACTTAGCACATGATTACTGGAAATTAATAGAAATGTCGTTATATTTTATGGTTTGGTTTTTTTTTTTAATTGCATTTCAAGGGGCCCTCCCTGGTGGTACAGCGGGTTAAAGCACAGCACTGAGAAGTGAAAGCCACTTAAGCATGAGCTCGATCCTCGCCTGCCCCGGAGGTGACCCACGTGGCAGACCCTCTCCTGACCCGCCCACTGCCTCTATCAGCAGTGTACTTTGTCAGTACACTTTGTCGGCCTGTTCCGCTCCCCACTCTGTCTCTGGTGAATCCTCTCACTGCCCCTGAACCTCTGGCCTGTACCCCAGGTCTGTATGCATAAGTAAATAAACTTTTTTTTTAAAGATTTATTTATTTATGCATACAGACCTGGGGTACAGGCCAGAGATGCAGAGGGTGAGAGGATTCGCCAGAGACAGAGCTGGGTACAGAACAGACAGATCGACTAAGTACGCTGCTGAGGGGAGCAGCAGGCCGGTCAGGAGAGGTCTGCAGTGCCATGTGGATCTCCTCCGGGGCAGGCGGGGATCGAACTCATGTGGAAGTGGCTTAAGCTTCTTTGTGCTGTGCTTTAATCCGCTGAGCCACCAGGGAGGGCCCGTAAATAAACCTTTTAAAAAAATAAATAGAAAAAAAATTGCATTTCTACTGTTTTACTACTAGCTTAAGTTCCAGCATGCCATACACACCCGAGCGTGCTGTGCCATCCACTGTTATCATACTGCCCCCTCTACCCATTCCTCCCACCCTCTTCTCCTTCTCGGGTAGCAAATCTCTCATAGTATGAGTTATTTTTCTGCTGTTTTGTTAGTTTGTTTGCTTTGTTTATACATGTTCCACAAGTGAGTGAA